TTAAATAAAATTTTAAATTACATCAATTATCTGAAATTCAAATTATTACAATATGTTTTAATAAATTAAAAAAAAAACTTTCAAACAAAAAGAAAAAAACTATTTTATTAATATGGAGAAGTATTTTCAAGTTGTGTTTGTAAAGAATGAATTGTTTCTTCTAAACGATCAATAGTTTGTTGTAAAATATCAGTTTCACGTTTATATGTTCTTTCTCTTTCTTCTTTTTCACGTTTATGAATTTTATCTTTTTCTTTTAATCTTTCATTATATTCATATTCATGTTTTCTTCTCATTTCATCAATTCGTTCAATTTCTTTATCATGTTTTTCAATAATAGACATCAAATTTGTGATTTCTTTATCTTTTGTGGTAATTATTTCTCGGTAAAGACTGATTTCATTAGCATGATTTTCATTCATTACTCGTTTCTGTTCTTCGAATGTTGTCGTTAATTCATTAATTCTTTCAACGAGTTGTTTTTTAGTGATGTTGTTTTCAGACATACTATTAAAAAAAAAAGAAAAATTAATTATAATATATTATACAATTATTTAATTCAGAATTAAATAATATATTTACTTTTTAAAAAAATCGTTAAAACGATGAAAGATATTTATCAAACCCATTATTATAATTCAATTATTTTATGCAAATTTATTTTATATTAAAATAAAGTAAAATCATTGTTTTATATATATTTTAAATTTTATTAATTTCGATTGGTTCTAGATAAGAAGTTTGATTCAAATTTAGATTTGGAATTTTTGATAGAATTTTAAGGATTAAAAACAGATTCGATTTCTTAAATGTTTTAATATTATTTTTTATTTAGACAACAAGCGAACTCATTAAGTTTTTAATTAAGATTTAAAATAAATATAAATAAGAATTGTATGAGTTTTTTAAATAAAAATTAAAATACAATATAAAAAATTATTCATTTATTTTCAAATCAATCGGATATCAAATTCCGAATTTATCTAAAACTATAAAATACTACACAAATTGTTCCACAACATTTTAATTAAAAATATGTCGAAACAAAAAATACTAAATAAAAACAACTTTGACAAACATTTCAAAAACAAGTATGATTTTTTTTTTTTTTCGTTTAGTTATATTATTATTATTTAATAATTAATAAGTAAAATATTTTATTAGAAAGAAATATTT